GTATTCACTCAGGAAATCGTGAAATTTTAACGCTCGAAGTCACGTCAGGAAATCAGCTGGAAATCGCAAGGAGAAATCGCTGGAAATCGTTGGAAATCACCGAACACTGGTACGATCATAAAATAGTATCAGGAGACATAACGCCTATGGTTGGTTCTACTGAAAAATGACCCCAGAATCGGGATCCATGATTTCAAATTTTCGTTAATCTAACGATGCGAGCAGTACCTTGCGGTAAATGAGGGAACTCCAATCCTACTTGACCAAAACATTTCCTACCGATGTAAATGGCCCAAAATGCTATTAATTTTGCAATTACGATACGCAAAGTGAAACGATGATCCGTAAATGATATACAGAATGTGATGTTTTTAACGCGACAAAAACTGGCCGACCCGCTAGCAGACGATCATTTTGAATTGCAACATTTCATCGAGGAGGCGCTCTTGGCCCTAGATCGGAAAAGATCTGAACATCCTGGACCCTTAAATTGGGGACGATTTCAATAAATGGCGTTGGATTTCCTTATATACTACTTCGTAGTCACGATTTTAAGGCCGAACGTCCCTTGTTACCGAATCGCATTGTTCTTCGTCACGTGAAACAAAGGCAATCGACTCTGAAAGAAGGCAATCGTTTTCACTGATTTCCAAGTGAATAGCCCCACAGCGAGCCGTGTGTTTTACATTTTCCGTAACGAAATGTCATAAATATTCTGCAGCTTGTCAATCAGGAATGGCAATTTCTTTTGCGCACGACAGCGCATTGAAACCAGGCTTTAACGTACCGCTCGCGTATGTCCGTCTCAATTACGGTGCAGTGGTGCGTTTACTGCATACGAGGCGATATTTCCTACGGGCCGAGTAATATCCCCGGCAATTTGAATGCTAAATTCGGCTTTACGTTACCGACTCCGCGTAAAAAGGAAAAAATATGGCATTATCGGATGAATTATCGCGCCGTCAGGAAATGTCCACTGTATCTAAATCGTGCGCGCATTTCCTCTTCCGAGGGCGACGCTTCGCGTGTAAGACATTTCGATCCGTGCTTCGACAGTCCCCACGACAAAAAGCCCGGTATAAGGTTGTTTCTGTATAATCGGTATTTTCTTGAAAAATAAATAAGCAACACGTACAATCACAGGAGGAATTCGATCCCACTTGTAGCGTGCAACGCTTCAATGAGGACTAACTCGACTGACTTTTTCTCCGGTCAATTTATCCGCGAACACCTGAGGTACACTAAGCGAAAAATGCACTTTCTAGACAAATTGAATTACTTGGGACAAGTTAAATGTTTCTTACCAAAGAAATTTCTAGGCTCAAGTTAAATTGATTTTGCAGGAATCAACAGCGTTACGAGTCAAATGATTCCAATTTTGCATCAAGTCGATACGATTTTGCGAAAAAGATTCAATGTACTAAGCTGACATCAAGTATTGAAAATATTAACGGAAGTTATATCATTCTTTTTTAAATACAATCCTGTGTTTAATTCAACCAATTTAATACTCAAAGTGAACAATTATTAAAGGCGAATAGATATTGTTCTACCTTGATGCAAGAATGAGTTCACCGGTATCATATGAGTTACAATAAGCCTACCAAATTCAACATTAATACAAGAATATATTCAATACTTCTAGTCTTCCCTTGAAATTAAACATAAAACTGTCGATCAAGGGAATTCGTAGATAAAAAAAAAGATAGAAAAAAATTCGTCCATCCACAGGAATTCATATAATGTCATAAATCCCTGTAGATTGTGGTCCTTCTGACATTTGCTCCTATAGGTTACATAACGTTGCACATACTTGCTTTTGCAACAACGTGTATGAAAATCGATTCGCAATGATCAACAATGGTCGAAGTGGCATAAAGCGAGAAAAGGATAACCTAAAAGGATTTCCACCCACGTTTTCGGAACGATCGGTTCACGGAACCGTAAAACATCGAGCTCGCCTTCAACGTCGGGGGGATATCATTACTCGCGCGCGACCGGAGAAATGTTTATTGCAATTCGGTCGTTAAGTCGTACGTCGATCCTCGCGTTTGCATTTCCACGGTTCGGCTGCATCCGAGTCGACGGTGCACGAGCGCCTTCGGAGCGTGCTAAAAAGCTTCCCCATCGATGTGCATGCGAGTGCACCACCCACGGGGTGGAGGGTTGGGGGACAGCCCGGTAACGAGGCTGTAACAAGTTTTCCCGGAAGGTGAGAAAAGGAGTTCCCTGAAAAGGGAACGAAAATGGCTCCTTCCCAGGGAGATATCCCGCCGAAATGGGACGCCCCTTTATCCGATCGCCCGTAGGAAAAATCGCGAGCAGGGAGCAACGGGGGGAGGATCGGATATGTATCCGTATGCGTCATTGCGTACTTGCACTCTCCTTCCTCCTCGAGATAACGTGATCAAGAGCACTCGACCGAGAGAAATCGAAGTTTCCGCCAGATCGAGGATTTAGGCGCGAATGATGGAAACGTCGCGTCTTCCCTTGCGATGGGAAACTCGGTAAATGATGCGACGTGCGCACTTTTTCCTGGAGACTGTACAGACGCGGAAAAATAATTCACGGATAATGCTATGTGATAATGAGCCAGCAGCATTCTTTGGCAGAATATGTTTCCTGTATGGAAAATATATACGCGATTATTATTAATTCACAGGCGCAACAACAGTGTTATTCACGGTTGCAATGCCCTTTACCGGCGACAGCAAACTGGATATCGTTCATTCGAATGGTAACGATAACATTTTATCTATAAACAAATTTTCTCTCTTTAAAATATTAGAGCAGATGAGAGATTTTGCAGGCTTATTTTTTTTCTGAAGGAAGTTCCGCTATTACATCTATACTTGATACAGGTGGAAACACTTTTGCCGATACCGCAATTGTTACCGCAGGACGAGAGAGACGTTCTCGGCAATTCTATCCTCTGTTAAGAATGCAAATGTTTTTTATCTCGTGTAGGTACTTAGCGATCGAGGTCTTCAAAATCTAATTTTTTAAACGTTTAAAAAGCGATCTTTATATTCATATTTGTTCACAGCTCTTCAAATGGACGGAATACCGCCGAAGGATGGAAGCTGCATGTTCTGCCCGGCTAGTTTGTCGGGCAGTTGTTGTATGAATCTCGTTGGTTTTTGCAAGTGGAATTGCAAAATGAGATATTCATACAACTGCTCACATGCAGAAGGAAGGTACCCGAATGACAAGTGAGACTATCGCGAACAAAACAGCTTAAATTTATTATAATATTAAATTTGACGACTGACTTAGAATTTTGTCAGCTCTTCACGCGTGAATAAGGATAACTGTTACAGAGCTGATGGTGAAGGCTGACGAGAGACGTGTTAAATTATCGAGAGACGGAGAGTGACTGACTTACAGAAAAATTACAGAATTCCTCCTCCGGTCGCATTACATTTTTTGAGGAGGTGGTAGCATATTTCTAGCATAACGATTGGCTGACTGATTTTAAGAAGGGCGGTTAAAATCGAATAGTCAGCCTCGTGATTGGTCGGTAGCTGTCCAATACGGTTAGGTGAAAACGGAAAATTTCAAGTTGCTGTGCAGATGGAAAAACATGTTGTATGCACGTGTGCATGTTGCGCGCACGTGTAAGCGGTAAAGTTAAAAAAGGTAGACGGTAAAGAATAGGGACGGTCAATCCGAGAAAATTCTAAAGAACCCTAAACTTCCGCGATGGGACGTACAGGGCAATAATGTCGTCTCGGAGAAAACTAAGATTTACGAGCCGATTTCGACGTCAGAAAATTGTTAAATTGGTAAATGGCCCGATGGGCCCAAGCAGGCAGTAAGACCCTTTCTAGGAATTTGTTTGACATTTCAACGTCCGCGATGAATTTACATATACGAGTTTCGCGGACGGAACATCCCGGCCCCCTTGAACGGTCACGTTCAAAAGGTAACATGATAAATAAACTTATCAACTAAACATAATTTTACAGATCCTTAACAGTCTCTAATCAGATGTCTCTATTGGAAGCGGTGAAATTCGCTTCACGCTTCTCTTGTACACCCCACTTGACGTTTTTAATGTCACAACCCTGACAACGTTGTCTGCTCCGGGATGCACTTCGATGATTCTCGCCAGGAGCCAATGTAGAGGTGGTACGTTGTCTGCCTTGACAACGACCAGAGTCCCAACCTTGATGTTGGCTGATGTCTCCCGCCATTTTGATCTGCCATTTATCTCATTGAGATATTCCTTGTGCCAGCGGGTCCAAAAGTGCTGCTTCAGCTTCTGGATATGCTGCCAACTAGATACTCTGTTAGCAGGCGTTTCAGAAAAATCGTGGCCCGGAATGCTCGTCAATGAGTCGCCAATAAGGAAATGTGCGGGGGTTAATGCGAGAAAATCATTAGGATCAGAGTATAGAGGGGTCAAAGGACGAGAATTTAAAATCGCTTGTATCTCTTTCATCCTCAGCTAATTGATGAAGTGTACGAATTACCAGAAAGGATGCAGATGTAAGTCCATATGTAATAGTATTTAATTCGTACGTTTTCAGCTCATCCGATGGATTTTCACGCTAGAGTATTTTCTGAAAGCAGTGTTCTTAGCGTGAACCTTAACCTGTGGATACATTGTTCCTGTATCAGCTGTGACATATCTGTGCGTGCGAAATCTGGTTACAATAGAGAATATATTCTCCTAAATAGTCGGGCCGACTAAAAGGGTTTCGTTAAGAGAAATTCCGGTGGTAGATTTGGCAGAACCGTCAATAAAAACCACCCTGAGTTTGGTTGTAAGCCTTGTTTCTTTAACAACCGCATGATTGAGGAAAAAGCCCGAACTGTTACGGGATCTGCTATCTCCTGCATATGGCCTAACTGTATATATTCTCTCAGAAATTCTGATTCAAGATTTCGCAGCCGTGGATTTGTCTGCAGTCGCTTTTCCACTTGGTATAATCTTCGTGAAGCTAATTTATCCGAATTTTCTAAAGCTTCGAGGTTTTCTTCAAGCGGTAATTGAACTATACATTGTCCGGACGAATCGCGCTGAATGTGTTCTTCGGAATGCTTCTCGTATGCAATTTCTTCCGATGATAACCGGTTTGTAATAGAGATCTCTTCAATTTCCCAAAATTTTCTATATGAGTTTGAAGACCTTCAGTGGACGTATGGCATGTTGTAGGCGCAATATCTGTGCACGGTATGCGACCCGAAATAACCCATCCAAAATGAGTTTTTTGCAATGTTGCTGCTGTTTTAGGCAATCTAATCTGACCAATGCACAGTAATTTGTAAAAGATTTCTGCCCCTAGCAACGCATCGATCTGTGAAGGTCGATAAAATTCGGGATCTGCAAGCACGACGTTTTTCGGAATATTTAATTGTGTCACATCCACTGTATCGGCAGGAAGATAGCCTGTGATTTTGGGAATTACTAGAAACGAGAGAGTGGATTTGAACTGAGTGTCTCGTGATTTCACAGTGGTCGAGACGAGATGATCTATTTTTGAAAAGTCCTGATTCAGTCCGGCAACTGGAATATCAACGTCTTTCTTCGGTAGATGGAGATCTGTCGCTAATTTCTCTGTAATGAAATTCGACTGTGATCCCGAATCTAGCAGAACTCTACATGGGTGCAGCTTTCCTCGACTGTCGCAAATGTGCACCAATGCAGTTGATAATAAAACTTGTGTCGATGCAGACACTTGCAGAGTAACGGACTGTGACGAAGCTGTCTGATTTTCAGCGATTTCTATCGTTGCTGGAGCCGTTGTAGGATGGAGCTTAGAATGATGCTTCTTTGAACAGATTGTGCATCGAGAACACTTGCAATTTTGCACCATATGATTTGATCGCAAACAATTAAAACATAATTTCTTCTCTTTTACCAGATTATATCTCTCTGGAACAGACAGGGCTAAAAAATCCTTGCAGACTTGGATTTGATGTGGACCTTTACATATGGAACAAGAAAACTTTGAGTCGGTTGTAAGGAACGATTGCTGCTTAAACTTCTGACGTGGTGCTGTACTGAGCACGCGATTACGTTCCTTAGCATTAATTTCCATTGATCCTATCGCTGTCGCATCCAAAGCCTGCCTTCGTTTTTCTAAAAATGCGGTCATTTCGCTCATAGTCGGCATATCGGTACTAGTCAACGATTCTTCCCATTTAATGCGAGTTTCCGTATCGAATTTTGTTAACATAATTCCGATTAATATCGAATCCCACGCTTCCGTCGGTTGCTTAAGCGCCTTGAGTGCTCTGATGTGCTTGGAAAAGGTGCATACTAATTGACCTATGGCTTGATTATTTGCCTTAATCAGTGGGGTGAAGTTAAGAAGTTCTCCGATGTGCTTTAAAATAATAATGCGCTGATTATCGTATCGCTCCTTCAGAAGATTCCATGCGACGGAGTAATTTTCGGACGACGTTTCTAAAGACGCAATAATGTCGGAAGCTTCTTCTTTAAGAGATGACCGAAGGTAGTGCAATTTCTGTACGTCGGGAAGACTCGCGTTGGAATGTATAATTGAGACGAAGGTGTCACGGAAGTTTAACCACGTGTCGTAAGATCCGTTAAATGACGGCAATTCTAGTTTCGGCAGTCTGAAATTATTTGTGTTCCTCGGAGCGCTGTCATTATTAACAGTTGACACACTTGCCGTAGTCGCTGAGTTACTGATGAGGCTTCGATCTATAATTTCTCTCGCAGCGCCTACAGTTTCATAAAAGGTGTTTTGAAATTCTATACAACTGGGATCTTCGAAATTGTCTCCAGCATCCTCGTTTACGGTTAGAAGCTCGATTTGAGTTTGAATCTCGTCAAACACTGGCCAGGAGTCTTCTACCTTGGAAACACTAATTTTCATTGCAGGAAGAAGTCGATCACAGTCGGCGGGACGACGACGATATTCGGCAACGGCATTCTTAAGTCGCGTTAACTGACTCTTAATCAAGCCACGCTTATGGATCAGAGCTTTCATATCGATGGACATGGTTACCGAGATTCGAAGGTTCTAAGAAGGGTTGACGAAAGAGGGACAATCTAAGGAATGGACGACTCAATGATATACGAGCTTACGGGTCGATGAGCAGAGGCAGCTAGTAACACTGTCGAGTGAAGCAGAGCTGCGAAATCGGCACCGCGTCGTGGAATGGCAGATGATGTCGTCCTCTGGANGCCCGATGGGCCCAAGCAGGCAGTAAGACCCTTTCTAGGAATTTGTTTGACATTTCAACGTCCGCGATGAATTTACATATACGAGTTTCGCGGACGGAACACTGCATCTACGGCAACCTTTAACAGGAATCAATTTTGTCAGGGAGCGAAAGAATCGGACGTAAAACCATAAAGATAAAAATGACGAAACAATCACGACCAAACAAAGGACACGCCTCGAAACGGGATTATTTTCGGATTACCTTTTTTTTATTTTCGACATTCGCGCAGTCCTTTTTCATCCGCCCGACCGGCTGAGTATGCTAAGCAAATTTAACCGCCCGTTTCGGAAACCACGCGCCCCCACAAATATATTTCGAAACGCGAAACGGCGGGCGTAAAAGATACATAAATGTAAATCCTAGTCATTACCGGAACGCGCATTTCCATGGAGAAACGCTGCGACCAGCATCTGCGGAAGTGACTTCGAAAGTCCCCGCGAATGCACCGTCGATAGTTTAATGCCGGTTAGATCGATCAAGATCGTCGACGGGCGAAGGAAAAATCAATTTCCCGCCCCGAGCCTTGTCGGTTAGTTTACGAAACGTCGAACTTAGATTGTATAAATAATGCCTTCGAGGGGAGATTCTAGGGCGGAACCATTCTCGAGCCCGGCCGCGAAGTTTCGACATCGCCCACGCCGCGTTATTGTTGGTGCGTCGCGCGACTGCAAATTGCAAATTGCAATTATCGCGACGCCCGGATTTTCCGTCCCGGGTATCCGGTGTACGGATAAATCAAGATATAAGCGCCCAGCTACGAACAGGAACGATATGCCGTTAAGTGGAGTTGGCCAACTTCGCAACGAACTGCGTTCCCCTCGTTTTCCCGTTTTGCGGCTCGCGGGAACTTCATCTGGACGGGGAGAAAAGGCGTGCTATACGTTACCCCATCCTATAAATAAAGGCCGAAAGTTCCTCCCGTGGAAACTTGGCTATACATTGACTTTTTAACGCGCCTTCAAAGGGTTGAACGCCCGGAAGCCGTGGTCCTAAGTGAAGTCGGCGAGCTTCGGGGAGGGCCATTTTTCCCCACTCGCAGGAATTTCGATTCGCCGACGGGAATGATTTCGTCGTTATTTTAGAAAAATACACTGTATATATTATATTATATTCCAAATAACAAATGCGGAAAGGTGTAATCAAAACCTTGGATAACTTGACTGGCCAACATCGGATCAAGACGTACATTTTCTGCTTGCCGAAGTCTCCGGAAATCTTAGGTTTGCGACGATTTCCTTGTTATTTTTAAAATAACACTATATGTTATATGTTATACTGTAAATAAATATCGAACATTATTACGAAATCTTTGGATAACCCAACGTAGGGAAAATGACATGTCAAATTTTACTTTTGTCATTTAGACTTAGGTCAAAAGAGCGACAAACGCGTCGAGCTTTGTATTATAACAAGGGCAACACATATCGCTCGTCCACCACAATAGATCATAATATTCTTCTATGATGGACATTTAAACCACGGACGTTGAAACGACGGGCATTGAAATGACGCACTTTGGAACGATGGTCGTATTGCCGCAGTCCTACCGAAACTTCAATTTTGCAACGAGAATTGCCTCCTCATTCCAAAAAGAAACTCGTACACGTTATGCAGCGAAACTTTGCCGAGTTTCTTGACATTATATCGTAAATAAAGTTCCCGGCAAGAAGACCCTGTATTGACTTTTAAACGCACCCTGCCTCAAAGGGTTGAAACTCCCGGAGCTGCGATCTCACCCCGTGGCTAGGAAAGTGCAGAGCATGGTAAACGCGAGATTGACGCTGAAAGGCCCTTTAACAGGAGCCCTGTAAACGCAGTTACTGCTTTTGGTAATGGCTCCTTCGGAAGCAGAAGCTTCCCGATGACTTCGCCTCCAAAAATCCTCCCCTCGAGGTCCCCATCTCGAGAACAATTCCGGACCGAAAGCGCGAGGTGCGAAGCCGGATGGGATTCTCCCCCGGAACTGCGGCGACACTTAAAAGCGCCTCCCCCTTACTCTTCCTGTAATTAAAGTCGGGCGGAATAATTCGACGGGAATTTGCATAACTGATGAAGCATTCCGAACGCAAAAGTGCGCCCAGAACGCGAAGCATCCCTTTCACGTCCGACGCGATTCTGCTTTGTCCCCTTCTTGCCATTTTTACAATAGTGAAATTAAATAATTAACCAAGGGGGAATAACGTACCGGCGCTAACGGATACGTTTGCCCAAATTATCTCGACAGCAACCCGCAAAGATGAATATAAATAGCAATGAACTAAAAAGATATAAAGTTTACGCAAATCGTGCCGATGCTAGAAGAGAAACATGAGCGTAAACGATAATCAACTGGAGAAGAAAAAGGATTCGGATGAGATATCAATAATAACTCAATAAATGGTAATTTAAATGTCAACTTCGACAAGGCAGAAGGACAGTCGCTTTCTAGATAAAAAGTTGAAGTTAAATAATACTAACGAAAACGCTTGGGTAAATTGTATTAAAAACGGAAACATAAAGATGAACCTAAATAGTGATTAACCGTTAAAAAAAAGAAGAAGCATTTCACTTTCCGAATGCCCTTTTACTTCATGCAAACTTGGACATCCTGCAGGATGATAAGAAGTTCCATTTAAAAATATGTATTCACAACATCCGAGCTTGCACGTCCTACCATGCGATAAGAAGGTTCACTTAAAAAAAAAATGTACAGAGAAATCGTCCGAGGTTATCTGTATCGTATGCGTATCCGTTATCTGTGTAAATGTGTTGCAAAGGTTATTGATAAATTCCCGTCAGATAAATCCTAGCGAGACTTCCGCGTGTAGCAATTCCAGCCCGGAAATCGAGACGGCGCGAGGTGCGAATTCCTGAATGGAATTTTCGCCAGTGGCGCAATTGCAGTCAAACTTCGAAGTGCTTCCTTCTATGCCCGTAATCAAAGCTCCACGGGATAACTCGACGGGAATTTGCATAACTGATGAAGCATTCCGAACGTAAAAATCCGCCCTGCTCTCGGAGCCTCGCGACTGTCTCCGAAAACGTCGCTCTCGGCGTCTCCACTTACAGCAGTTTAAAAAATGTCTAAACTGAAAAAAAAACCCTCAATGAAAAAAAAATACATAATTCAACGCCAACAAAATCCTGAACCTCGGTTAACGCGTGTACACCGCAAATATAACCGCGGAAGAACGGGTTTTCCTCAAATTTCTCGGATACCTCGAACTCGTTATGTTCTCAATTAACCACTCCTTGCCAAGGAAATAATTAAGGCGCGCTGCAACTAGTTGACTTTGCAAAGAGGAAAATGTTGACTGGCTTGATAACGGATAATGAACCACGTGGGCGGTTCAATATTTATAAGAAAAAAAGAATGAATCGTGTACTTAATAAAAAGAAAGAAAGGAATGCCCTTTGTACTTAATAAAGGATCATTTCTCCGAGTGTCCAGAAATTATTGATTTCCGTATTTTTAATTCAAAAGAAAGAATGTGATTTCTGTATTTAATGAAGAAGGAAATTAAAAGTAGATGAAAGTAGAAGGTACAAAGCGTACGGAGGGTTCTAGGTGTATCATGAAGTATTCACAGAGGAGGTGGGTTTCGTGTGCAACAATTTCAATGGCTCGCAACAAACAATGCGCTCAGAGACGTCGTATGCCTCTAACAATAAGCCCTTAACGGTATATACGAGAAGCTCCTCAACGATTCCATTTGCCGTAAACTCGAAACGACACTAGATATACCATTGAAAATAATAAAAGAATTACTGACAGATCTCTTTACCGGAGTTACGCTTATCGAAGCGATGCATCTTCTGCCAGAGAGATTACATCCTACACCGGAAACTAACGTAAAAGGAGTATCCACGATAAATCCAATTCCCCGAGTTGTTTCCTCGAAAATGCATAAATTCAAATCATTAAGAACGACTGCAACAAAAATGAAAAAGTACCTTCTCAATCTCTATGAATTTCCATTTCTTATGCGAATAGAATTTCTTGCTCTAAATCGAAATTCAACGTGAAAACGTTAGAGGGCCACTTTTTTTTTCTTCTTAATCGACTAAATCATTCGGCATTAATAGTGCTATTGCAAGAAGGTTTCCTTTGTCACCTCGTTTATTTTTTATAGGTTTTAAATGATACGGAAAACATTTTACAGGAGCTCATTGCCTTGGGCCGGTGTTCAACGAAAGCTGCGTTTTGCAGTGGCGAAACCGCAAAGGTGCTCGGAGGAGCTCGTCGGCGATTTTATTTACCGTAAAATCGAAACGTCGGCCCGCGTACCATTATTGAGAATAACAAAGGGATTACAGCCGACCCTCGTTGCGCCGTGTACATAGACCTAGGTACAACGCACTAACTGCAACGGAGCGACTCCGAGCCCGCAATCAAGCTTCGGACCAAGAACAACCCCATTAGCAATAAAATTGGGATACCCGGTATCATTGCCGATGCCAAAGGAATTGCACAAATTCTCGGGAGTTACAGCACCCTCGAAAAAAGGGGTAGCTTTCACGATATAGGTAGGTACTCTTGATCTGCGAGACGTCTTCTCATTAATCTCATTAATGTATTCAAAATTGGAGGATACATTTTTTTAAATGTACTTTCAAATCCTGTATTTTTAGTCAAAAATGTGTTATTCTTCCTCACTTTATCCCATTTTATATAAAAAAATTAATTTCTATCGAGCTAACATACATTTTTCTACTAACGAGTTAAGATATATTTTTGCGCCAGCACTGTCTCTCTAACTGTATGTTTAATTAAAGTGATGTTTCATTATTTACA